TAATACAACTAATACACACCGGATTGAGAAAAAAGGAACATGCAACTATTCATTGAGTAGTATCCATGTTATTCCCACTGACAGCCAACTACACAAGTATACAATTTCTTTAAACAGAAGTGACTGGTCAAGAAGTGACTAGACTTTTTTCTCTTTCGAGGAAGAAATGAGTAGATTCGAATTTGGTTATTAGGGCATACTAAAACAATAGCAATAATTCGTCTGAATATGCTTCGGGTAGCCCGAACCATATATAATATACGGGAAATTATCAGCTATGTCCATTTATAAGTAGCTCATTATAAAAATTGGCCAATTGATAAAATATTACTAATATTAGCCAATTAACTATTTGTAGCAAAAAATATCAAATTTTTGCTTTGTTTTAAGTGGGTGTTATTAGAATAGATTGGGCACAACTTAAGGAGCTTGAATCTCAGTTTTGGGATGATTTGGTGAAGTTTTGAGGTGGTTTGAATTGAAAACTCGAAGTAAAAGCTGAACATGAAAAAAAATGATGTTTATCACACTGTGTATCATTTGTGTATCACATATGTATCATATTTGTATCAATTGTGTATCACATGTATATCCATGTATACCTGTGTGTGATACATGCGTGATACATGTTTGATACATGTGTCGCAGAAGACTTTTTTGAACTCGATTTAATTACGAATTTTGATACAAAACCAGTCCAAATCACCTCCAATCTTCCTCAAATTTTGTATATTGACTTTTCTATATATTTTCAATGAATTTCAACTATACCCATTGAAAAAGTTCCTTTTTTTGTTTAGTTTTTTGGAATATTGTATAGATTTTTGTATTTCATCACCTTATTTGCTACCCCGTCCATGAAATTTCCTTTCCGTCTTGTATCTAATGTTGCTAATCACGCTTAAAAATATGGAAGGTGATTTTTGCATGTGATTCTTTGAGTGAAAGAACCCTATTATTTGGTTTTTCAATTTTTGTTGGCTAGTTTTGGTAAGTCTATGACTAATGGCTAGAGGTTGGTAAATAGAGATTTATTTGGGACATTTGTGTAAGTTTCCCAAGATTAAATACCATTAGCGGTATTTTTGACAATAAGAAAACTGATTTTGCATATCATTGATGGATGATTGGAACGGCTCGACGGCAAAAAAATCTACCGCATTTGAGCAAATTTAGGCTAGACATTATAATTTGTTTGGGGCTATAAATTGTATGGATCAATTCATGGCTAGCGGATGATATTAGTTTTCACCGACCGGCTACAAATGAAATTTGCTCATCATTCTTCTTACTGGTTATGGGCTTATGTAAAAAGTCCACTATATCGAAAGCCTTATTGCTCCTGGACTCCAGCAGTTTAGCGGCCCAATTGCTTTGGCAATGCTCCAATCATTGTAGTAAAAAATTTCAATTCATTCTGATACTTTTTGGGTACATACTTCTAATTTTATAGAGACAAATAAACATCAAACACAGTCCTTTTTTATCTAACTAGCAATCTTTTATTACATTGTAGTTACTACTAAAAGCATTGTTTATTATTGGACATTGCTGTATTAATCAGTAGCTAATATCTCCACAGCTTCTTTCAGTAATGGAAGAAAAGGAAAGAGGAGGTACTAAATTAATTAAGAACTATCCATTTTAATTAGTTAGCAAATGAACTGGTGGTGATTCTTAATGTTGGCTTCATAATGATGTCGAAGCATTCATGCATGCACCTATTTCACTCATAATAATGAGCACTCCCTTTCAACTCGACAAACTTTTTCAACGAATGAACACGCATAAAATGTTAAAGATTATTTTAAGAATGTGTAATATACGCGTGATTAAAAAATCAGTTGAGTAAACAATTAGGTATAAGATTTTTCTCGTCTAATAAATACCTCATCTAGGGGTAGCTTGTCTTCAATATCTAGGTGTATACATTGAACTAGAAATGTAAGAGTAATATTCTCATCGAATTTCCACCACACTCATTTAAATCCTCGACTTGGAGGAGTGCAGAGCAACAGGCCAACAGCATTGCTAGCTGGTTGCTATACATCTTACGCTATTGTTTCACCAAAATTAAATTGATATTCTCTACTCCCGTTGCCAATAGTAGTGAATAGACTATGCTTTTAATTAAATACCAACCAATTCTTCTACTTTTCTTTTGGTGGTGGTGGTGGTGGGGGAGGCAGAGGCAGACCTATGCTATATCGAGAGGGGTCACCGGCAGAGGCGGATGCAATGTATCCCACCGAGTTCAATTGAATCCAGTATTTTTGGCGCAAAGCATAATTTTATGTGTAAAAATTTATTAATATTTCAGTATTAGCAATATGAACCCATAACTTTAAAAATATAATTAATGGGTTCAATGCTAAAAACTTTAAAACTTGAACCCATAAAACTTAAATCCTAGATCCGCCTCTGGTCACCGGCACCCATAAAGTTCGGCAAAAAATTCGTGTACACACACACACACATATATATATATCTTTAGAAAGTAGTGATATACTAGTGGTGAGCACCCTATATACAAAGTAGGTTTTGGTTGAATTAAAAAATTGCACCCCGACCTTCAAATATTAGGTCCGCCTCTGGGGGGGGGTAATAGGTTAGGAGTGAGGTTGCCGGGAAATTACAGTGTATATAAAGTCAAATTTTATTTTTATGTATATATATTTGGTGACGAATTCCGTTGGCCTCTTTGCATGTGTACCTTTATTTTTTTGAATTCTCTTGGTGAAATTTCTACCTCTGCGCCACTGGTTGATGTTATGGGATAGGATATTACTATTTTATGTGACATATGATTTTAACCATGCTTCATTCTCTACTTCAATATTGACATTTTTTTCAGTAACTTAAACAATTCTAAAATCTCAAGAAAATGGAGATTGATCAAATTATCAGGTATATAATTGTTGGGATATTCAGTACATTATGAAAATCTAAAAGAGGGGGGGGGGGGGGGGGGGGTAAGAAGAAGATAGCACAAGGCATGCATGAGATTTAATTCTACAATTCTAAATACTCCGTAGCTATATATAGGAAAGAGGAATTAAGATAAAACATGTTATGTTTGCGGGTAATTACTTTTTTGCCTTTAATTACCCTCATTTTCTACAAGTATATATCTCCTGCTTTACCATCATATCAGAAATACTTGGACTGATACAAGAAAACGCCAGAAATTAAATGAAGAAAATCAGTAATATTTCAAATTGCTTCACCATATATTCTGCCGAAAAACTTTGTAGCGATAGCTCAGCGCCACCAGTCCATACTCCATAAATATGGGGTCATTCTCACCTGTCTTTTAATTACCATTTTTATTGTCAACTACTTAGACTAAAACAATAATGGAGATAAAACTTGTCTACGTAGTAGTACTTTGTTCAGAAAATAATTTATTGGTCTACAGGTGAACTGTCGTGCCAAAAAAGGGAAGTGTATTATAGCCAACTGCAATGATTTGATGACCAAACAGCTGAAACTTGTCTATCTTTTTGCTGCCTTAGCACTTGCCATAACTATTTTTGGGAGAATTGTGGGGGGAGGGGGTGTTTGGGGTTGGAGGGACTTTAAGGTTTGAACCATTTCCTAAAATTAGGTTCAGAAAACATAAAAGAAAGTTATGCAGATTCTCGATCTTGTATGCATTTCTCTTGATCAACTTAATTTTTTCATACATCGTGTAAAGACCACTTAGACAAAGTGGTGTATTACGTAGAGCATTACATTATATTACGGATTAGTTACATCCTATACCAAATGTTGATACCTTATTTATTTTAAATAAATATCCTTTTAAAAAATTATATTTCATAGTTACCTTTTGATTTTTTATAGCCAAATATCTATTTGTGGTTACCTCCTACCCTTAAGCCATAAAATAAGCTTTGTATTATTTTTCTCTCTCCACTCAAATTTTTCCTATCCCTAACCAAAAGCTTCAGCCGAGGACCCCCTAAAACAGCTGCCCACCCCCAATCTCTCACCCACATCGTTCTCGTTCTCTTCAATGGAGGATAGATCTCCTCCTTCTTGAGAGAGCAGCAGCCGTCCTTCCCATTCCCTTTCTCCAAGAACGCCCAGCACTTCATCCCCCACAAACCTGATCATCCGCCCACCTTCCTAAGAGAGGATCATCATCCTTGAATTCCAAAAAGAAAGCTGAAAGCAACCCACTCCATTAACAACCTCCAGTCGCCACCCCAAGAAAAGGGAACAAACAGCAGCTGCAAAAAAAGAGGAACGAAGACGACGGAGTTTGGGGCTGAGCAACTTGAATTTTCTATTAATATATTTCAATGTATTTCAATGTATCTCGCTGTATTTCCATCTATTTCATTGTCTTTTTTTCCATTGTATTTCAATGTATATCGTTGTATTCCATATATTTCATTGTATTCACTGTCTCGTTGTATTCCATGAATGTATTCATATATTTTTTTAATTAATATAATTTATGTATTCAGACATATTATACAATTTCTCTGAAGATTGCTATGTTTTTGGGGTGTTTTTCGGTTGAGAATCTTTTTTATAACTGAAAATACAAAATTTGTGTGTTATAATTGAGTTTGTTGAGTTATATTAGGAGTCTATTATATTAATTGATTCACTTTCCGTTTAAAAACAGTGTAATCCCCTATTTCACGCCGTGAATACAGTCGAATACAATAATCTGTCCAGCTGTGAATACAGTCGAATACAAAAATCTGTCTAGCTGTAATCCCCTGTTTCACGCCTAGAAATGCTACTATATTCATGAATACAGTAGCTTTAATACATCGAATACACTTTAAAAAATCTGAAAACATAGCTATAGGAAATAATATAGTAAATGGTAGCTACAACTAGCTAATAACCACTAAAACATAGTGATTTCTGAATGTTTCTCTTATATTATCCATCTTGACACATTATATTAGCCATACATATTATATTAGCCATTAGGGAAAATAGGTTAATAATATTTTTTCATCAAGATCATCTTTAAATATTATCAACTGCATCTAGGGTTAATATATGGATTATTTCAATACAAAATTTCAGTCCGAGTTTTGATTGACAACCACTACTATATTCTGTACTACATACAAAAAATAGAACTAGATATACAGACTAAAATAACTACTACAATTTATATTTAAATGTATTTCAGAAGAGCTAATGAGTTATTGTGAAATAGTACAGTGTAAGAATGATATTAGTGTTGGGGGCTGGAAGAGTCCGCTCGGCTTTGACGTTTCTTCCTGTATCTCCAGGCAACTTGTATCCGCCTTGCTGCTAGCCCTCGCCAATATGGCGATTCATACCTTAAAGATTATCAGCTATTAAATAGTTCCCATGGTGACAAAGAGCTTGAAACAAGAAGAAAGCAAACCTACAGATATCATTAAGTCTTTTTCCTTCAATTTAAAAAGCTTTTAATTAGCACATAAAGTTCCATCCCATTCAGCTATGATACCAGAAAAGTTCATCGTACTATCCAACCTTACCCCCCCCCCCCCCCCCCACCCACACACATCCCCCGGTTCCATAAAACATCCGTCGAAGCAAAAGATGAGAAGATAAGAGAGTGAAAAAGAAGTACCAAAGTCCATGAAGATAACAACTTCAAGCCTATGATATGTCAAAAAAAGGGAAATGGGGAGCAAAAACAAAGAGACAAGGAATGAGGAAAAAGGGGCATTCGGCTGTGAGGAAGAAGAGGCGCAGAAGCATAACATTCTGGATTGCCAAAAGAGATAGTTTAAGGACAACATAACATTCCACAATTCTGTTTTGAACAAATAAGATGATAAACTTCCTCGAGTTGAAGAGTACACTACAAGTATATATGCTAAACTAATTGTTTTTCTCTAGTTCTGCAGAATGATATAGAATATAGTTTTGCTGGTGGTTAGGAAGGAAAGTATAGAAAGAAACCTGAATGGGTTTTACTTAAATGATATTACTTGAGTAAAGGCCCAATGATTTGGAGCTACCACCCAGCTGCGGAACTAGAAATTTATACAATGGGATTCAAAAATATTCTAGGATGTCACAATTGGAACTTGAACCTATGACCTAAAGCAATTTTGAACCCCCTTTACTACTATATTGAACTTTTCTTTTTATCAAGGGGAATCAACAACTCACATAAAACAACAAAAAAAGATCATTTTTCTCTATTCCCACAGTGTAATTTTCCATGAAGGGAACCCCTTTGACACTACCTAGTTCCACCACCGCTACCACCTAACTCTAAAACATAAACATGTAAATCTGACATGATGTCCAGAGAGCCCCTTCTAGTTGAACTTCTCATATTCTGTATGGCTACTCTACAGATCTGACATTACAAGTAGAGTCATGAAAATCAATGCCATGTTAATTTGTTTAGGGAAAAGGTCCAAATATACCCCTCTATTTTGGTATATTGTTCACATATATCCTCTGTTATACTATAGGACCACATCCACCCTCACCGTTATCCAACTTTATAAAAATACCCCTTATTAAACGGAAAGCCACCAGATATTAGGGATGGCCCGTTTTTAAAATAAAAAAGTTTCGACCCACCGACCCATAACCCGTTTAACCAAATAAACCTATGGGATCCCTTGTATTTCCTGCAATTCTTAGATCTGCTCCGTGTGTGCTCTACCAGATAAGGAAAAATCCATCGCTCATCAAGTGGGTTCCTCAAAATCAATTGATAGCTCAATAAATTCCTTTCCCTCTCATCTTCTCTCTGGTTTGCTTCCTTTGTTGAGTGCAATTAGCACATACCCAAAACAAAAAAACAAAAACATACCTCAAAAAAACTCTAAACCAGTTAACTCAAATAGAATGCGGTCTTACAAGAAACCAAATTAAATAAGCACAATCAGCGAAATTAGGGAAGAAAAATTGCACCTTTGCAGCTTTCACAGAGAAATTTTGGTAGCAAAACCATAAGACATGGCACTTCTCGATTTTTTTTCTGATGAAAAAGGTGTGTTTTGAGTGTTTTCCGTATAAAATTATGGGTCTCTCTTATTTATATGATGGGTTTATTGGTTAAACGGGTTATGGGTCGATGAGTCGAAACTTTTTTATTTTAAAAACGGGTCATCCCTAATATCTGATGGCTATTCGTTTAACGAGGGGTATTTTTATAAAGTTGGGTAACAGTGAGGGTGGATGTGGCCCTGTAGCATAACGGAGGGTACATGTGAACAATATACCAAAGCAGAGGGATATATTTGGACCTTTTCCCTTTTGTTTATCATCATGCTTCAAGTCTTAAAAAAATCCATTGGAGATTCAGTAGCTATAAAATTAAATTACCTTATGGCACCTTGAACACGTGGACTCCTCAAGAATCTTGCGAAAAGATTAGTGACTTCTTCAAGATCTGCAGCTCGCAATATAAATGCTTCAACATTTGTTAGGCACCTAACAAGTCTGTTGCTCAGTAATCTATGTCCTGGAATTCTGATCTTTTTCCCATCTGAAAGGACAACAGGAAAAGCGATGTTAGGAAATATCCATCACAATATGTATTTCACATTCACAACTTCATCTCTTCCTAAATCGGAAAATCACTCAGAGCTTATCGAAATTTTAGATAGCCCATCTGATAACCAGGAAGACTAAAGGCAGCCAAAGTTTTAACTGCCAATCATAAGGTTTTCAATTATCTTCACTAAGTGGTGTACACTTCATTAAACGGGGAAGTCAGCTCTGTGATTAGACTGATTGAAAGTTCAAAGCAAATATTTATCGGAAAACCATCAAAATGTAGACTCAAAATCCAAATACTGATTGACCCTGACATCCTTATGATCACTGAATGGCCATCTCTCAACACCAAAGTTTTCGATAAAATCCAACTTTTGACATTCCCAGTTTATTTAGTCTATATTGTAAGAGGGCTAGCCTTGGTGAATCATTTATGATTTTACACTACCAAATGATAAATGGAAAAGAAGGGGGGAACCACTCGATTTTCTAGTTTGTATATCGGCCTCATATCAAGAACAAGACAAGAGAGACACTAATCCAGGGAATTTTGCATTATACTTAGGGGTCGTTTGGTTTGAATACGGCTTATGACGGGATAAGTTATGCTGAGATTAGTTATGCTGGGATTAGTTATCCTGGTATTGTTTTTTATCCACTGTTTAGTTTGTTGTATTAAAAATGACAATTGCATAATGTCTAAGAAGTTATAACTTATCCCAGCACTAATTACCCCACCCTCTACAAGGTATAAGTTATCCCGGTACTAATTTTAATCCCGGGATAACTTATACCAGGTTTGCTAACCAAACAAAGTATTGAAGTGGATTTAAATTTTTATACCAGCACTATACCTTCTTATACCTCATACCAAACGACCTCTTAGTGTGCTGTAGACTTGAATTTTCTACACATTTGTCCTAGTATAAGATCAAAATAAGAACTGTTCACCAAGGAAGGAAAATATCAAGAAGTTCTGCACGACACAAGTTCTTCAGCAGCCAATTTTTGACTCTAATTGATTATCACATGCACAGACAAAATGGAACTAAAGACGCGGGGCACAGAACAAGCTTCTCATAAGGGCTTGTTGCATGCAACAGCAAGCTTAATATGACAAGTTTCTAGTGCAATCATCACTCCAAATTCCTGGTAAAAAGTCCGGTTACTGGTTTAACTTACTGCTTCATATGGATCTAGAATACTCACAGATGAACACTTTTGGTAAGAATGTTGGTTGACTCAGCACAGAAAAATGTTGAATTCGGCACTAAAATCTGCATTCAGTTGGCCAATAGGGTGCTCTAGATTTTGAATGCACACATTAGAGCTAGATAATTTTCAGTCTTGATGATTACCAGCTTTGAATCAATGAAAAACCTCTTGCTTGGTCACCCATACTACAATCTAACATTTGAGTCGGACTGCAGCTAAATGGTACTTTGGATGCTAGAACTTAAAGTAGGTCCACACTTCCATTCATACCTTGAGAGGTTAATCTTCTACTGGGAAAAAGATGCAATATTTCAGCCATAATTGTCAATAGATAAGAATTCCGTCAATACTTCCTTGATACTAAGTTCACTCATCACAGCTTCCAGACCTGTTCCATAGGTATAGACTGCATTTACCTGACATAATACCTTCATCCTTTTGTACATTTCACTTTTCCCCTACTCATCATCTCTTTGTAGGGGTTATATCATGTTTAACTCATCCATGCATAGATAAGCATATCTTTTATATTTCTTTTTCAAATTTCATGCCGTATTTACCTTGAGGGGGAAAAAGGGGTAGCTGAGCCTCAAGAGGAGAAAAGATAGCTGAGTCAAAGGAGCTTTCAGTGATAATTTGAATATTATGGAGAGTACCTATTTGGATAACAAGAAATGGTGGAGTTCAAGCGAAGCTGATGAATCGATTTTATAACTAAAAACAAAAAGAGCTAACATTATATCATGCATATATGACAAAGGTGCACTCACAAGACAATCTTCAAAAGGTCTATAATCACCTCTGTTTATCGAAGAGTGCTCAAGGCACCATGTGAGGAGTTCTTCCCCGCAGGCATCCCCTTCAGACAAGGAGGCCACATTTCCATCTTCTCCAATACTTTCCATCTTACCCCGAATTATGAAAACCATCTTGTCAACCAGACCACCACGGTATAAAACTTTGCTTCCTGCTATGTATGTTTTCTGTCTTAATCTCTCACAGATGGCATCTATGATGGGTTCATCTAGAAGTGCAAATATCCGAACCTGCAAATGAATAACATAATATGAAAGTCATGATGACAACATTAAACGTTCAATATTAAGAGCCATTGAGAAAAGCAAACAGCTTAATGTAATAACCCAAAAAATTAATATATACTTATTGATTATGGGACTGGAGAATTAATCTTATTGATAACTATTGGATTAATTATTAAGCTAGTAAAAAAAAATTATATAGTCTATTAAATAAGTAATTAGTAGGCTTAATTCACAATTATACATAGTGAACAATGTAATAATTTTGGGAATTAGTAGGGATGAAATAATGGGCCAAGCCCTTTTTTAGAGGCTACTGCCACGTCTGGAAGTAAATAAGTTTACAAAAAAATTGACTTCTTACTTCTAGGATTAGGGGGAAAAAAACCTAAAGCATAAACAGGAGTTTGGTACAGTTGACGGCGCAAGCAGTAGGAAGAAAAGGCTATAGAGGTCTTGGGTGGAGTTGACGTCGTCTCTCTTGCAACTTAATATTGATATGCAGGTATATTATTAATTTCTTGGATAAATTAAGGAGAAAGAATCATCATGTTATCCATTTGTGATTATAATGAGAATTGAATTGGAAAATAAAGTGATCTGCACATTGTTGTAATTGTGAAACTTTAGAAATATAAATATACAGTCAAACCTCTCTATAACAGCCTCGTTTATTCCGAATATTTTTGGATGTTATAGTGAAGTGCTGTTATAGAGAACATATATTATAACATAACATGAAAATTGGTTCCAAAAAAACTTGGCTTTTATAAGTGTTGTTATATAAGGATCTTGTTACAGAGAGGTCTGACTGTAATATAATAATGGAAACAACTCTTTAGCGAGGGACAAAAATTATGCTCTTAAGATTTCATTTTTGGAGACAAACTAATATGCATATGGAATTTGTCTCATACTTTTGAATACAAAGTTTGATGAGTTATATTTATATGTTCATATAATACTTCATACTTCAATATAGGCCACGTATGTGTGAAATTAACTTTCTTTCGATGACACTTAGAGGTAATTTTTCTTCAGCAGAATGAGTTCTTGAATGTAGGTAACCGAAGGTTAACAAGTTTTATATATATATATATATATATATATATATATATATATATATATATATATATATATATAGAGAGAGAGAGAGAGAGAGAGTAACGAACTGTATTTTAGGATCGAGACATTATTTTATTTTTAGATTCATGATTTGAGGGAAGGTTGAGATGTAGCTCTAAGCTTGAAATTAAGAAAAATTAGGATTTGATATGGACTAGTATAATTGACCTCGTTAATTAATATTTTGGATAGATTGAGGCTATTGGACGTTGTTCGAATGGTGTTCTAGATGTTGCAAGATTGGGGACTCCCGTTAGCGACGTAAATGAGACTTTAAGCTTTGATGCTTGCTTTTCTAAAACACGTTTTAAAAATGTGTTTTCTCTGTCCGGTCCATGTGTTGAGACAAGCGTGAGTTTGGCAGAATCGGTGGTCTTAGACTAGCCGCAAATATATTATTTTATGAAAAATATAGAATTTTTTTGTTTGTTGTTTGATGGCGTGATACGGCTGCGAGCCATGATGTTGAGTTTGATAGTTTGATACGCCTGTGAGCCATGGTGTTGAGTTTGATCCGGCTGTGAGCCATGATGTTGAGTTTGATATGGCTGTGATCCATGTTGTTGAGTTTTGACAAGAATGGACCTTGGGCGTAACTCAACCCCAAAAGCTAGCTTGTGAGATGAGGACTGCCCAAGACCATATAAAGAGACCAAGATACCCATAACCCACCGATGTGGGACACAACTCAACACCCCCCTCACGCCCAGGCCTGCAACTGGAGCGTGGACAATATAAATGGGGGCCCAACATCGGTAACAATAAATTGGGATGGGCCTGGCTCTGATACCATGACAAGAATGGACCTTGGGCCTAACTCAACCCCAAAAGTTAGGCCCAAGGTCCATTCTTGTCAAGTTTGATACGGCCGTGAGCCATGATATTGGGGCATTGTGTATGCCTTCGTACATCACCCGAGCATTGTGTATGCTTCTCGATATATTTGGGGCATTGTGTATGCTTCAGTGAGCATTGTGTATGCTCCGTTACATATTTGAGGCATTGTGGTGCTGTCATGGACTCGTGGAGATGTTGGTTAATTTCTTTCACTACGGTTATGGCAAGTCCTTAGTGTGTTAAAATATGGATACTCTTGTTGGTTAAGTCTTATTAACTATGTTGATACATATTGAGTTATTGTATAATCGTCGTATTTATTATATCGTTCTTGTTGCTGTGTGTTTGTATTTTCTAACACTAGTTCCAGGGGTATTCAAAGTGGCGGGTCGAGGATCTTATTGGGTTATATTTATGTATAACTCACTCCTTACCTGCATGTCCATTAGTGTTTGAAAAAGCGATTGCTTCGTCACTTTAAGCGCGAAGCGACCAACCATCGCTTTTCCTAGCCTGAGGCGACTTGACCATGTGAAGAGTGCGCTTCAGTTGAAGAAGCGACGAAGCGACGAAGCGCTCGCTTCTGTTAAGAAGACCCTTTTTTAAAAAAAAAGTTTGGGTCTGTTTTTTTACTATACAAAACAAACCCCTAAGACCAAAATTGACCATTTCTTCTTCTCTCTTCTTCGATCGACCAAAGGCTAGGGTTTCAACTTCATCGACATTGCTGACCAGTCCAGGTAATTTTCTTCTTCTCATTTTTTTCTTTCTTCTTCTTGTTCCCGTCCAGATTCTGCTCTTTTTTTCTGTCTTTTTCCTTCTTTCTTCCTTTTCTTCTTCGTTTATCTCTGACCAGTCCAGCGTCTGCACACTGTTCAGCGTCTTCTTCTTCTTCTTCTTCCTTTATCTCTGACCCGTCCAGATTCTGTTTTTTTCCCCCTTTTATTCTTCTTATTTATTAATTTTAATATGTATTTTGTTTATAAAATTAATTATTATATATATGTTATATTTTCAGTTTATTTGATTAATTTTATATGTATTTCAGTTTAAAAAATTAATTATATATATATATATATATATATGTTATATTTTAGTTTATTTGATTTTTTTAATGTGTATTTCAGTTTATTAAATTAATTATCATATTTATGTTATATTTTCAGTTTGATTAATTTTATATGTATTTCAGATTAGAAAATTAATTATTATATATATATTGCGCTTCACTTCAATGAAGCGTGCGCTTCGCTTTTGAAGCGAGGCGAGCCCCTGTCTCAAAAACACTGATGTCCATGCAGATACTATTCGTGACGACGGAGCTAGTAGTTGACGAGTTCGCAGAGTTGATCTAGTTATTAAGGTGAGCCACCACATTGTTCATGGAGGTTGTCAAAAGAGTCCTTATCATTTATTTATATGATGTCTTTTATTTTGGGGTTTACACACCCAATCTTGAGTCTTTTGTAATTCTCTTCGATGCTCCATGGTCTAGTATGGGATTTGGGCTAGAGTATACTTCCTCCATTTTGGTTATTGTTATTCATAAATATTTATGGAATAATTTTGATCATTAATCATTCTCATTTAATTATTGAAATGTTAGGAACTTGTATTTAGTTAGTTGAGCTTTGAATAAATGCTAAGTGTGTGGTATAAGCTGGTTCACCTGGCGGGTAGTGTTAGCTGGGTGCCAGTCACGTCTAGGATGTATTTTGGGACGTGACACTTAAATCTAACCCAAACCAGGAAAGCCCCCTTTTCCTACTAATCTGGTTAAACTAAGATTCACACAAAAATGACATGTTTCAGAATCCAGACCTTGATTGGCTAAACTCAATGGTTCCAATCACAATATATGTACTGCAAGTGAGCTTGTCTATGAAAAGCATGAGGAATAACAGAATAAAGAGAAGATAAATGATCCAAATGATAGTCCAGCTGGAATTCACCTTTTTGATGAAGTTAAAAAGATGTCTCCGTATATCTCTTAGAAGGTCTTCAGGAAGATTCTCTAGTAGCATTTCTTCATTGACCCCTCTGGTAGCTGCCCAATTATATCTCTCTGCCTCCCGAACTCTCCTACAGGGGAGACGATCATGCTTTTAGGTTTTCTTGTAGCAAGTAATGGGAATGGATTCACTAAAAGCTCATTTCTAAGACACATGGTAGTTTATCATTTTGGATTAACATTGATCAAGCTACTGGTGCTTTAATTTGCCTGAAAAAAAGAAATACCATGACAGAGGCGTCCATATTTCTAGAACAATAAAAAGGAAGTTTCACTATGGTCCATTTAGGATATCGCCCTAGCATTACAGTTGGAGTTACATAACATTATAGAGAACTCCAATGGGTGTTTAACACTTGTGATGGAAAACAAGACAAGTGTGCAAGTGCAGTTCAAAATAAACTGGGGAAGGAATTTTAAGTCCTTAACCCTCACAAGGATATCAAGATCTTTAAATGTCAACTCTCAAATCCAACTCTAATTAAATTAAACAACTAAAAGAGAATATTTAGGTACCCAACTCTAAGACCCACTTGCAAGAGTGACTGCCAAAGTATACAACTAAAAATTAGTCAGGACTATAAACTTGGTTAATTATAGGCAACTAATAACCAGGTAACTTCTCATAAAACTAAAATTTACATCCAAACAATCAATCAGAAATATACTTAATTTGAGCTTCCTCTGTACTTGCATCCCACATAACTAAACATACAGGACTGAAGGCCCCACATTGAGCTAAATATAAATAGAATCTTAATAATTCCTAAACTGTGATATCCTAGTCTGTGGAATGCAAAGTCGAGAAAAACAGTTGCATCAAGCAAAAATTTCAATCTTCGAATGGGGTCCATAGTAAATGAAGTATGAAGATACGTGCGAGATATGATGATGAATAGCAGATCAGGTGTGCACTCAATCCAGGGATTCTCTAACTCTATACCAGTATATTAAGGAGAAAAACTGCAGAGTCTAGAGTTAGATGTCAAGGAAAAAGAGCATTAAAGGCTACCTTCTCAGTTCTTCAGGCAAGCGCCTATGGCTCATCCATTGTTCAACGTCACGACGTCTCAGAGACATTTCTAACCTCCTGCAGAGAAAACATAATACTCATCGACAGTTGCACAAAAAGTGGTGCACAATCAACGCAAAGAGATAATAAGAATCGAACAATTACATCCAAGTAAGAGAACATTTATCATGTTATACAACAAGACTGGTGAAAATTTCCCAAAATTTCTACACGACCAAATAGTTTTGTCATACAAAAATATTCCTCCAGGTATTTCACTTTTCAAATTTCCCACACATAACAATCTTTTTCTTGAGAAGTGGCAATGGCTTCATGTTCAGTTGAGAGAAATAGTTACAAAATACTTATGTATAACTCTTGTTTGCAGAATATTATAGTAACTCTCCCACAAAATAAATCTCTTCAGTTAACTGTTAGCGGTCCCTGAATAGACTGAAAGTAGAATAACAATCATGATTATCCACAAGCATCAAGTATGTTATTTTAAAAATAGGCCTCCTTGGCATACACAAAAACTTAGCATAGTAAACAAAAATTTACCTGCGATCTAGAGACTGCAGAAAGTTTTGCATATTTCCAATCAGGAGGGCAAAAAGTAGGAGTCCCATTCCGATGATAGCCATAGTGAAAATAACTTCCCACACAAAATAACTCGGGATTTGATTGCCAGCTAGTGTACTAATTTGCTTTGTAAATACACCATTTAAAAAACACGGTCAGAAGTATAATTTCCACATTAAATGACACAAGTAACTTAATGAATGCAATGTCTAAAACTCCTGGTTTGTGTCAGGATAGGATGAAACCGTATTGATATTATTGTGCCAAGATATGCTCAATCAAAGTTGGGTTTCTAATGTTGTGATAATCTATTACTCAATAAATTTAATTATGGAGGAAAGAAGAAAGGTAGCAAGATTGAGTGAAAAAGAAGAGTAGAAGCAGAAGAGCACACTGCTGTGGCGCTACAAGATTAGCTGCTGTGGCGTTGGAAGAAACTAGCAAGAAACAAGTATTATCTTCAGCACTACAGCACTGGAATATTGTCGCAGCAGTTATCAGCGGCAAAGCAGAATAAAGTCACCAGGCAGTTCTGCAACTTGCACTAACTTTGTCAACTTCAATAATATAAGATCCTCAGATTTCTCGGGAACTTTCTGCCCCCTTGAGGAACGTGGAAATGAAAAAGAGAACACCAGTTTTTAGAGGATTCAAGGGAGAAAAGAGAAGAACAGGGAGGAACATCCGAGAACCAAGCTTCCTATTCTAGTTTCTCCATTTAGTGGTGAGGGCCTAAACCATGTTTGATGTAGTCCTGTTGAAGCCAGATCTTCACCGGCCTGCGAGTTTGATGTTAACCAAAAGAAGGATTCAATCTCTTAATGATTCCATTGACATTTTAGCTGAATTATGTTTTAAGATCTAAACCGAAAGGGTGTCTTTGAACAAAGATTACCTAGAATATGCAATTCAATGAAGACGGACATTGCATATTTGAGAAGGCTACCATTTTATGAAAGCTAGTGCCATACTTGCATAGTGAAGGATCTAAGAATATAGACCTAAGGAGAACTTATATGCTTAGAAAATTCATAGTTGCCAATTGTATCTAAAAATAACCATCTTACTTTAGAGAACTAAATATGTGCAGTTTATGCTTGTTAACCTAAGATTTGAGCATTAGGTCAAATCAATTTCATAACATCATTTCTCATTGATAAACTTCTTAACCCTGACTCATTTTCACCTCAAGTGTGAGCAAATTATTTGACTTGTTGTAGATCCACCTATTCACAACCAAATCGATCTCTCAAATAACGCATATTACAAGATTGCTTTGATAGCATATATTCTCGTGGGATTCAGTGAGCTGCTAATGTGCTCAGATCGCATTAAACCATCAGGGCTTTTTTTTGGGCATGAGAAACACAGAAAAAGAAGAGCTAGTTGTCTTTTGGCTTGAGAACAAACTTTATCAAAACTTGCACGACTTGGAGCTACAGAATTTCACTTCATCAAATTGTTCTTCAGCCTGGGTATAAGATTCCCTTTGGTGAACTTTTCTTCCATCCAACAAAAAAGCGACCAAAAGTATATCCAAAATGCATGATGAAACTAGAATTCCTTCTACAGACACGAAGAAGAAACTAGAGAACCTAGGTTGCATATGAGATAAAAGTATAGTGGTTCAATATTACGCACATCAGTTTCAAAGTCAAGAAGTAAAATTAAGATATTCAGCTCCTCAAAGACAAAAAGTTTACAAAAGATGTAAAAAAAAAAAATTAACATAATGAAACCAAAAACATGTATGAAATAGAATTCTGAATACTAACAATATCAGTTCGACTCCTAGTCCTACGTCTGGAAGCTAGGGAATGATAAAGAAAGGAAGGTAATTTCCGATCCCTTGTTTGGTTTAAGGAAGCAAAGTGGAAAGGGAGCTATAACTTCTTTTTGGGGCCTAATAATTTCTGTGGTTGCTCTGGCACAAAATAAGAAATGATCTCTCCACTGCATAAATGGTTGTGAGTTCACGTTCTCATCATCTTTGGAAATTAAGTCCATCTTGAAGACATCCAAAAACAGATCTAACGTAGTTTTTAGCAGACAACCTCAATTTAAGATTAATAGTACATCCCAGCAGAGGAAGACCATGCTACTTTTCCTACTTGTAATTTCTGTTCTCTGCCTCCCTCGCCCTAGTTTCTAACCATAGGGAAAAGGTATGACAATATCTGAACAACTTATCACGCAATGTGGATCTAAAATCTGGAATTTCCTACAAAACGATAAGGCTTTTGCCTGCCATAGTACTCGACCAAAATGTTTGGGAACACAGAAGTCAATTGAAAGTACTCCAGAAAAAAGTTAATAATTCTTTATAAAGAAGTACTCTTACATAAATCTGAAGTTATATAGATATATCAAGAGCTCTGCTGCTATCACATCCACTAGAGCATGTGATACAAATTTCATTTTCTAATACAGCTAGTATTAGAAATATGCAAATCGTACACTCACAATCATGAATGCTGGGTTAAGATACCTGGAAGCCCCAAAACAATGAGTACACATATCTTGTGGCAACACTCCCTTCAGCGGTTAGATTAACAGCTTGTTCATAGATTCCATAGTCAAAACCACCATTAGTAAAACAAGCAACTGCATCAGAATTGTTCTTCCACTGGTCCCATGTTGTATCCAACCGAAACTTTCTGTAATCAGTGCCATGACCACAGTCTATGAATTCTGTACACCTTGCTATGTTTGAGCTACGACAAGCATCTCGAAGGCATTGATTCACCCTCTAGAGATGGAAGGAAAAAAGTTAAATCCGAGTATGATTTTGGAAAACACAGGGGGAAGCTCTACATCTAACAAAGATAGATGAAAAATTGTCCCAGCAGCCATTTGGTGGACAATTTGGAAGGAGAGGAATGCAAGGTGTTTTGAAGATATAAGTAGCCTTGTACAGAAGATCAAAATGAATTGCATTCTTCTTTTTAGTTTTTGGTGTAAAGCAGAATATATAGATGATCAAAATTCAATCATAGAAGTCTTAGGCTCCTTGTAAGAAGAACAGGGAAGTTTAATTTTTGTTTTTGTCTTGGCTCTTCTGATGTAATCTTGGTTCTAGTACAAAATTTGTGCTGATGATTTATTAATGGCCAAAATCATACGCAGCCCACTAAACTTGTTCGAGTTTTCCTCTTAGACACTTTATTTAAGTTTTGTTCCGATTGAACACTTAAGCTACTCAAAATTTGTACCTATGAAACACTTTTTTGATAAGCAGCAAAAAATTAAAGAGAGTGTAATGCACTCTCCAATGATGTGGCAAATTGACGAATTAAATTATGACATTTGGCATTTGAGTCCAAAATAATATGTAATTAACAAAATGAATTATGAAGGAAAAAGAAAACTATTTTTAAGAAAAAAAAAAGAAAAAAAACTAATTCTAAACCCCATCCAGACCCTTCCCTATTCTTCTGCCCATCAGAAGTCATTTCTAACCAAAATCTTCTCCTTTTTTTTTTTTTGTTTTGGTTTTTAGATCTAATTCTTCTGTAATTTTAGATTTGATGTTTTCACTTTTTGATCTAATATTTTCTGATACAAGAGAGGAAGGGGGATAGAAATGAGAGTGGTGGCAGTGATGGGTCTCCATTTTTTCTGGCGAGCAAGGCGGTGGTGGTTGTCGGAATCAAAGAAAAAGGAGCAGACGGTGATGGTCGTTTTCACATTCGAAAAAGATGAATTAAGTGGTGGTTGGAGTGGTGGCAGCGTAGGCAGTGATGATGGCAGAAGGTGGTGCAATTGGTTCGAAAAAGGAGGAAGAAGAGGCGTGGCGGCGGCTGTAATGGCAGATCCACAGATGAAATGACGGTAGTGGTGGAAGAGGTAGGTGGCTGAAGAAAAGAGAGAAGGGAGGACTGTGGTGGTGGCGTGACGATAGGGACGCGCCCATGGTGGTGGATGGTGGAGAAGTTATGGCAAAGAAGAAGAAAGAGATTAAAAAAATAAAAAAGAGAAAAAAAAACTAAAAACAATGCATCTCACGCTCTTTGGGTAAGTGTATCACACACATCATGCCATGTGAGCAAAAAGTGTTTAATGGGTATAAATTTGACTAGTGTAAGCGTTCGATAGGAATAAGCTTCAATTAAGGTGTCTAAGAGGAAAACCCGGACAAGTTTAGGAGGCTGCGTATGATTTTGGCCTTTATTAATATATTGGATCTGATACCATCTCAAAAAACAAAGAAAAAAACAAGGACAAGGCAACTGGTAGAAAGCACTTAAAAATTTTCAACATATTTGTTTCACGCATTCCCGCAAACCCCTCTACCCTCAGAAGTGTACTAAGAAGTAAAAGTAATGGCTATATCAGCAAAAAAAGACATAATTAAATTTAAGTGAGGAACAGAAGAACAACTAAGCACGGTGAAGAACAAGTTTTCACCTGTAAACCAAAAAGATACCAGCATGATCCCACCACATGACTCGATAGAACAAAAGTGAGAAGATTTATGACAAAATTTGCCCATGCTGACTCAAATATAAAACCACTTGGAGACTGGCCAGCTAGCAAAGGCAAAAACCTGTACAACCTAGGAATGTACTGGAGTAGTATAGCTGCCCTCAATAGATTCTTCGCGTAATTTGCCCCAGATGATCCAATAGACTTGGGCAAAACCAATAATATGATGATCTGCACCCACCAAATATATTAATTATACCTCCAAAACCAAGAAGTGCAAGAGAAGGCAACAAGGGAATTAATGTTACAAAAACTTAACTCCTACAGGTTGGGTACGATAAAATCAACATAAGGCCGTCCTACTACAACCAGTTAAAAAGTAAGTGCCTTTACTATTCTATCAGTATTGAGTCCTAGTGTATCTGAATTATGGAGCACACAGAAATGTAGGTTAGAGAAACAGAAGAGAGGGAAGGCACATTTACCTGAGGAAGTGGTAGTACGACGAAAAAGTCAAGGACAAAGTATCCAGAAAGATAATTTATAGCAATCTTTTTAGGGTGGTCAACCAGGTCACCTGCTCCCACCACCCTAGATTCAGGAGCAACATAAGCTAAGCGGAACTGCAAAAGGTTGGCACCACGTACGCACACATTATTGAAATAATAGACAAGATGAACAAAAGTAAGTGTCTCTGTGCAGGAAAGTGGGAGTACCAGAGTAAGGTCAATCAGCTTTTGAAAATCTATTAACTATTTGGTTGGCTCATTGAATTGACTGAGCATTAAATTGGATGCAGTTGAGTAGTCAATAAATATTTTTAGATTAGCTTTAATCTGCAGAAGAATAAAAATGTCAATCTAGAAGTATCATTCTGGAGAGACAGTATATATATATATATATATATATATATATATATATATATATATATATATATTGTAAAGCCAACCAAGAAATAACCAAAACGCCAGTTATGCTGACAGGTGACCAGGAAAAGAAGAGCACCAGCTGACAGCTCAAATGGTGCACAAAGAATATTGCACAGCTAAATTGCTGTTGCTAATCAGAAAGAAAAGAGGATTCTGCAGAGAGAAGTGGGAACTGTTACCTGAAGAAGGATGTGAATTAAGTAAACGATATCAGTGATGCTCCTCAAAATCACAATAGTTGTTGTCATGGGCCAATTTAGCACTATACATTTGTTCCCCTAGAAACAAAACAAGAAGATTAATCTTTTAGAGAAAACTTATTCAATTGTAAAGCTTGTTTACCGTACATAGAAGATTCTGGCACTATGGAAAAATTCCAATGAGCAAGATAGAATGTAAATTTCCATGTAATTACCTAATAACAACAAATATTTTAGATTCAAGATCCATAGAAAGAAAGGAATGTCTTGTATGAAAAAAAATTTTAAAGGAGTGGAAGGTCTCAAGATCACAACATGCCTACAAAAGCATATGAATTCTACTTTAACAGCTTAAACTCTTATCCTGAAAGCATAAAACCTCCAAGAATAACTTCAGTTGAAGAGATAATGGTCATTCATCTCAGGAATAACAAAGCGGCTCGATGTTCTTGAGCTCGGAGTGGCCTTCTCTAAACTGAATTAGATTTTCCACGGCATGATCTTGTCTAAGTATTGGAAAACAAACCCATATTACAAAGCTAGTAAATACTGTTCATTTATTTCAGCGCAAACTTTTTATAGTCTTTATAATTGATAGGTCATCTGCATCCTAGGGCCATGCGATGAATATTGATATTGCATGAAAGTTATGTTCTTTATTTTGCATGGCAATTATTTGGAGCTTTGTTCCTTCACAGTTTCTAGAATAGAAAGCACCTATAAATCAAAAATGCAGAAAGGATACTTTAATTTCAGTATGCACAAGGTGATGGAGTGATCATTTTACATATTTGTGTATGCCTGTCATGCTCACCAAAATTCAGAAGGACATACTTTCATTATCTTAATTAAGCTATCATCTATTCACCAACCTATTCACTTCCTACTTTGAGAGAAATGAATTTGCACATCTTAGATAGTAGTAAAACTTAGTGGGTGAGAGACAGAATGACTTGATTCTTTCTTATCCAGGTAAAAGCATGTAAAATAATGTGCAGTATGGAAATACACTGGATGTACCCAGGTCTAAGTAGCACAAGGTAAGTGACAGATTTTACACAAAAATATGTATGATTTATCCTACATAACCAAATAATAGAAGGGAAAGTGATTTCACTTTCATAGAACTACAATAGAATACCTGTTGGACATAAAGCAAAAAGAAGAACAGGGGATCTATAAATACTGCAAATAGGCATGAGATGACAAAAAATTTGTTCCACTTCTGGACAATCTTCGCATGAGGATTCATGACACCAGGAATATATGGATGCAAGAAAGAACAAGTTCTCTTTGCCCATCCTTTTGCATCTCCATACAGCATATTATGGAACTGTAGAGCACAATAAGAGCAAAAAAATGAGAAGTTAGACAGCTTAAAATCAAGTGCATCCTTTGGAATTCATAGGAAATGAGATAGAAGTATCTAAGAACAACATCTGAAGTACCTCTAACAAAGCAAATCCAGAAAAAGCGACAAAAAAAGAGAGGAGGAGGAGAAGAAGAAGAAAGGACATAACTACTCTATTCTTCTCTTTTATTTCCTTTTCAGGAAATGACATGGAACACCATCTGCTCAGAGCCTCAACTAACTTTGAGGAGTAACCATTATTACTCAAGACTCATCATAACTATAGAAACGTAATTGGAAGAATCTTAGACCATTTTTTTAATGATAGATCTTATGCTTCAGTATACTTTTATTCATCTATTTCTGGGGACTTCACAATCCCTTGTTATTTTTATAACACCTTGAGAACCATTGCGGGAAGGTACTGGAACATCTTCCATGTTTCAACATTCGCACTAAGCCCAGAAAGAACTATAATCAGCACAAGCAAAGACAGAATGGGAGTAAGGGTAAAGTATTTTAGTATTGGAACTGCTAGTCAACCATACGATATAATCATCATTGTCATCTTTTAATATCTGCGAATCAAAGACATATAGTTATCTACCAATGACATAAGAGGCAGCGTGTACTTGTAGGGAATAAATTCTGTAAATATTCAGGCACAAGGATAATAGGTGAACAAAGGGACAAAGATACTTACAATTGAACTTACAAATGGTTTACACTGAATACAGATTAAAAATCTTATTTGAGACATGGATAAGGCCACTGATATTGGAACGGGAAACCACAAAGCTCTTGTAATTGTAAAAACCATAATCGAGGATAACATCAAAGTTTGAGCATTATGGATTCACCATTATCATCAACTTGAATGCATAAATAGGGAAACTTGATTGTCCATGCAAAGTAGTATACCAAAAAATGAAAGCCCATAAAAAAAGTAGAAACTCCCTACGTGGTCAAAGCTGAAATTCTGACTATGTGAGATGAAAAACAAAATGCACATTTTGAAAATAGTGTGCATGGTAGATAAAGCTAGAATCCAGACACTGAAAAAAATCACATAATAGCACATAGCTAGGAAGACATACATTTAACTTGAGCAAAGTGCAATACCCTGTGATCTATTATATCTGAAGACTTTGAATTTTTTTGCCGTGCTTTCAAATGGTAATAGGTTGGGCATGTTGTGCAGTAAGGATCACTGCACATGCCCAGTTGTCCAGACTTCAATAGATGTTCATTTTTTCCAGTGTAGTCATTATTAGGCCAACCATTTCGTTCCGCGCTGCCAATTGAAGGATATTTTTCTGTTGTAGGCAGAGTTGGTTTGTGCACTACTGCAGCGGGAGTGGGCCGAAAGCTATTCTCAGGCTTGCGACTAATATATAATGGCCCGCTCATATGAACCAATGACGTTCGCCTCTCACTTCTCAAAGGACCAGTATAACCTACAAAACTACTATCATTTTCAAAGGAATCCATAGAGCTCATTGGCATTGATAGGGATGCACTCCTTGTCCTGTACGTAAAACGCCGATTTTGAAAGCCATCACTTTCATCAGACTGCGGAAATGATGGTGATAACATCGGCATCTCATCTTTTTCAAAAGTCCCCATCCCTCTGATACTGAACCTGCAAGAGGAAATCAACAGCATTTTAATGAAAAAGAAAATTGTCACGAAGCTTGACAGCTTAAAGAAAAAAAGGTGCAAAATGACTTCACAACTCTTTGTCAACAGAAACTGCAAAATCTAACAAAGAAATAAAAGTTTGACGCATACTTAAAGAAATTTCTAAAGTAAGCTGGATTACTTAATGCAACTTAGTAAATCAAATAGCAGATTTCCAAGACTGCCGGAGGAAACTGGAAACTACCATCCACAGTGAACCAAGGTTTTCAAATGAAAGCATATTGAGACAACTGAAACAACTGCATAGGCAACAGAGATGACCTGCGACAGATAGATCTGTATACCTTTCCTCAAATACTTCCACACTGCTGGGAATCTATTACAATGCATTGAAATTATAATTTTCTTTAGGAAAGAAAAACGTGTACCATGAGAAACCATAAGTTGACTTCTTTTCTTTTTTTTGATAAGGTAAGACTTACCATAAGTTAACTTTTTTACCATAAAATTAGATTCATTATGGAATAGGTTACTCTCTTCTTAGAACTTCCACTCTAAGTTCGCTTTCCCTTCCAATACTAAAAAATGAATGTCTAGTAGCTAAGTAACATAAATTCCCCTTAAGTAGAATGTTTGCTCAAAAGTTATCACATACCTTATGAGTATAAAACAATATAAATGAATCACGGGAAAATCATAGCAAACCGTAATAATCCGTTGGACCAAATGAAGAAAACGAAAATAAGTACTCAGGGTTAGGGGGAGAAACATTAGAAGCCTTTATTGATAATATTGGTTTGGTCTGCCTCTCCATGAAGAGGTTCAGAGCCTTATAATGGTGCTCCTCTTGCCCATAATATGGGTCTCGTTATCTCTTTTTTCTCTCGTCAATAGTGAAGAAGAAGAAGCCCCCCTTTCTAGGGTTTCCTCTCTTGGTATTTATAGTTGTGAGCTTCGTGAGCTGGCAATAAGTGGCCGTGACCACGTTGGGATTTCGCCTTCATGGTGGCGGATGGGTCATGGCCTTGCTGATCGAATCAGATGCGGGTTGAATATCGTTAATTCTGAGTGGTCGTGCCACTAATTAATCATGAATTAGCTTAAGACGGGATTAGCTTCGTTAATTATCGTGGGGTCGGATTCTGACCCATACATAGAAGTTATATTCACATAGCTAGGTTCTAGAGCATTGAATTTCAGTTTTTCAAAAAATAAATAAATTAAGAGATGTAATTTGAGAGTAATTATTTTGTCAAATTCATTATCTTCCAATCATATCTTCATGTCAATTTTTTTCCAATAAGTAAGATAGATACCTCAACTTGTTTGGGACCGAGGCGTTGTTGTTTTTTTTGTTGTTGTTGTAACATAGATATGTCAAGTCTGTTTTGCTCTGAAAGAAATTTTAAGGGAGGAAGAATGATTTTCCTATACAACTGATGCTCAAAAAATTTCATGATCTATAACATGCTTCAGTGAGGCTAGTTTTACTTGTCTGGACATGCATGCCAAAATTTTGTGCAACAACAGAAGCAACACTTGATAGGCATTGTATGCGAGTCTTTCAACAAAAAACCCTCTTTGATAATTTTAAAACCAGGAAATAATTTAAAATTTGCTTTTGCCATGAAATAATTGGGATAAATATAGAATTATGGGTGCATGAACAACAGAGCAAACACACTACCCTGACTAACAGACGGCAAAGTTCTTGTGATAATCGAAAAAGAAAACGATCACCAACTTATAGGTACTACTTCAACTTCACTTGTAAAACAAGGGTTACTAAAATTCAATCGCAAGAAACTCAAAGAAACATAAAACCAAGTAAAGAAAAGCTATCTCTACTAAAGAAAGAAAGTGAACCTGATAACTCCAGCAGAATTATGGGTTCAAAGGAAAAATATCTGCTTCTGGCATTGGGAATAAGAGGAGTAGCAGAGAAAGAGCAATGGCCAATGTTGGGTCAAATAAATTACTACTGAAAAGGAGCCGTAGCGAGGAGAAAAAAAAGAGAGACGACTTCACAAGACTGACCAAGAGAGCGTTGGATTTATTAGTCTTTCCTTTCCTTTCCTACTTGGGTCGTCTTTAACGACTCCGTGGTTATTCACGCCAAATACGGTTGGGCTCCCTCTCCTCCCATACATTTTTTTTTGGTAAAAATAGCATGGTCTAGCCAGTTTTCGGACTGGTCAATCAAAAATAGCCAGTATTTACCAAGTCAATGAAAAATAGCCACTATTTTATTGCAACAGAGATCGGTCCAGCATAATATACTGGAGTTCGGTGCACCTGTGTATGAACTTCCTGTTATCAATCTGTATTGCTGTAAATAAATAAAACAATAATCTTTCCGAAAACAGAAACAGAAAGTTAGCAGAAATAAATTCTGAAAAACAGTATTTGAACTTCAAAATAAATTTCAAAAATGGTATAGCAACAAATCGAGCCCACTGAATACACAGTGTGTCCTTAAGGAAATTATTCCCCTCAAGTACCCGAGGTTCTAGAATATATCCTCCTAGGATAGAACGATTTAACTCACCGGAGTGTTGGTACCAAAAACGCCGATGAACAGCGAACCACTCGAAGGCTGTAAAACACACTGGAATTTTTGTGCAGAAGAAGAAGAAGATTATCAGAAAATTTCGTAAGTAAATATTCTGGGATTTGAAGGAATATTTATAGCCAATTTGGTACTGTTTCTGAAAAGGTTTGCAACCTTTCAGAACAGTCATGGCTGTTGGAACAGGTTTGACACTGTTTCAGAACAACCATAGTCAATCAATCGATCTTTGACCAAATCCAAATCCAAATCCGAAGCCGAAGCCGAGCCGAGCGAGCGAGCGACGACGACTGCGCGAGGCTTGCAATCTTCTTAACTCTTTAAGAGCTAAAACATGAGCTTCTTTATAGATACACAAAGATTTTCTTTCCTTCTACCAATGAGGGACAAAGTGCATTCATTCAAAATTTCACTTCCCTCTATTTCTTTTGCCACCATTATCCATTCACATCTCTTTTGTTATTAATAAATAATAACAAAATCCAATAATCCCCCACATGAATGGGGAATGGCTATAAACTTAAAGGAATGCACGGACGAGTGTGTGTTTTACATGCAAGAATTAATTGCATCTAGATAAGTAGGTTTCCCTTTGAACTTTCCGTAGTGAACTTATATCGGATATACTCGGTCAATCGGTAGATTTGATATCTTTGAACCATCGAGCTTTGTTGTATACCTAGACAACATAAGTCACACAATCAACCCTTAACCACCTATGATTCCCACGTTTGTGTTCGTTTCAGCCATGAACACCGCCTAGTTTCATGAGTGCTTAGAGAATGGGCCTTTACTTTCATTCTCCTTGAAGCGGCTTACACTTCACACTCACATAGGTGATTCCTAAACGTGTAATCCTAAAGACACACTATCTGGTCATATCCTGCCAGACTTAGCAAATCATTAAAAAGTTATAAGCTTTTTTGACTCATCAAAAAGCCTTAATGTTTTACCTCGTTTTTTGAACATTGTCTTTATCACGAGAATGGGTTGAGTTATTTGACAATGTTGAACCGTCATTCATAACTTTGTTTGATCTCTTTGAACATAGCTCCTGGGATCTCCAGTCTGCTAGGTAGAGTTACCGCCATGATGACTTGTCCTAGGCCTTTAACCCCATTCTCTTTGATGATCTTTCAACTGCCTCTCTAGATAGGCCTTTTGTAAGTGGATCCGACACGTTATCTCTTGACTTTACGTAGTCAATTGTGATAACACCACTAGAGAGTAGTTGTCTAACGGTATTGTGTCTCCGTCGAATATGATGAGATTTTCCGTTATACATAACGCTCCCTGCCCTACCTATTGTCGCTTGACTATCACAATGTATACAAATAGGTGCCAAAGGTTTGGGCCAAAATGGAATATCTTCCAAGAAATTTTGGAGCCATTCAGCTTCTTCACGGGCCTTATCTAAAGCTATGAATTCAGATTCCATTGTAGAACGAGCGAAGCATGTTTGTTTGGATGATTTCCAAGACACTGCTCCACCCCAAATTGTGAAAACATATCCACCCGTGGATTTAACTTCAGATGATCCGGTGATCCAATTTGCATCACTATATTCCTCGATCACGGAAGGATATTTGTTATAATGCAAAGCATAATTTTGGGTATGTTTTAGATACCCCAAAACTTGTTTCATTGCCATCTAATGTATTTGATTGGGATTACTTATAAACCGACTCAGTTTGCTAATAGCACATGCTATATCTGGTCGCGTATAATTCATGATATACATCAAACTTCCCAATACTCTTGCATAGTCCAGCTGTGAGTCACTTTCACCTTCATTCTTTTGAAGTGCATAACTCACGTCAATTGGAGTCTTGGCAATTTTGAAATCCAAATACTTGAACTTGTCAAGTACCTTTTCAATATAGTGAGACTGTGATAATGCTAGACCTTGTGGAGTCTTGTGAATTCTGATTCCTAAGATCACATCAGCAACTCCTAAGTCTTTCATGTCGAATTTGCTTGCCAACATGCACTTTGTATTATTTATATCTGCCATACTTTTGCTTATTATCAACATGTCATCAACATATAAACAAACAATGACTTCATGACCTGGAGTATTTTTAATGTAAACACATTTGTCGCACTCGTTGATTTTAAATCCATTTGCTAACATTGTTTGGTCAAATTTTGCATGCCATTGTTTGGGTGCTTGTTTAAGTCCATAAAGCGACTTAACAAGTTTGCACACTTTCTTTTCTTTACCAGGAACCACAAAACCCTCAGGTTGTTCCATGTAAATCTCTTCCTCCAACTCTCCATTTAGGAAAGCTGTTTTAACATCCATTTGATGGATTTCAAGACCATACATGGCCGCTAGTGCCACTAACACCCTAATAGATGTTATCCTTGTTACTGGCGAGTAAGTGTCAAAGTAATTAAGGCCTTCCTTTTGTCTATAACCTTTGACAACATGTCTTGCCTTATATTTGTCAATAGTGTCATCAGCTTTAATTTTTCGTTTAAAGATCCATTTTGAACCTAAAGGCTTATTTCCTGGAGGAAGATCAACCAATTCTCATGTATGGTTATCCAAAATTGATTGAATCTCACTATTGACTGCCTCTTTCCAAAATATTGAATCAGAAGACGACATAGCTGCTTTAAAAGTTTGAGGCTCATTTTCAAGCAAGAATGTCACAAAATCTGGTCCAAAGGAAGTAGATGTTCTTTGACGTTTGCTACGCCTTGGATCTACTATACTTGGAGTATTTTCCTTTGGTTCTTCCCGAGGTTGTTTAGGTCTTTCACTTAACGACTCGCATTCAGTTTTATACGGATAGATGCTTTCAAAGAATTAGCATTATCTGATTCCATTACCGTATTAACATGAATCTCGGGATTATCGGATTTATGAACCAAAAACCGACATACTTTACTGTTTGTCGCATATCCAATAAAAACACAATCTACTGTTTTTGGTCCGATTTTAACCCTTTAGGTAAAGGAACTTGTACCTTTGCTAGACACCCCCATACTTTGAAATATTTCAAGTTGGGTTTTCTTCCTTTCCATTTTTCATATGGAATAGATTGCGTTTTGTTGTGGGGTACTCTGCTGAGTATTCGGTTAGCTGTAAGGAGAGCTTCCCCCCACAAACTCTGCGGTAATCCGGAACTTATTAATAAAGAATTCATCATTTCCTTTAATGTCTGATTTTTCCTTTCCGCAATTCCGTTGGATTGGGGTGTGTAAGGTGCAGTAGTTTGATGGATAATTCCATATTCCGAACATATTTCTGCAAATGGAGATTCATATTCTCCACCTCTATCACTTCTAATCATTTTGATCTTTTTATTCAATTAATTCTCCACTTCATTCTTGTATTGCTTAAATACTTCAATTAATTCTCCACTTCATTCTTGTATTGCTTAAATACTTCAATTGCTTCATCCTTACTATTAAGCAAATAAGCATAACAATATCTAGTGCAATCGTTAATAAAAGTAATAGAATACTTTTTTCCACCTTGAGATGGTGTCGACTTCATATCGCAAATATCAGTATGAATTAAGTCTAAAGGATTTGAATTCCTTTCAACAAACTTATAAGGATGTTTTACAAACTTAGATTCAACACATATTTGACATTTTGATTTATTACACTCGAATTCAGGCAATACTTCTAAATTAATTAACTTCCGCAAGGTTTTATAATTGACATGTCCTAAACGAATATGCCATAAATCATTTGACTCCAATAAATAAGAAGAAGCTGAAATTTTATTAATACTGTCAACAACCATTACATTGAGTTTAAAAAGGCCCTCCATGAGGCAGCCTTTTCCAACATACATTTCGTTCTTACTTACAACAACTTTATCAGAAACAAATACACATTTGAATCTATTCTTTACAAGTAAAGAAGTAGAAAGTAAATTCTTCCTAATAGTAGGAACATGAAGAACGTTGTTGAGCGTTAACACCTTGCCGGAAGTCATCTTCAGAAATATCTTCCCATAACCTTCAATCTTGGCTGTTGCATTATTTCCCATGGAAATTTCTTCTTCAGGACCAGCAGTAGAGTAAGTCGCAAATGCTTCTTTGACAGCACAAACATATCGAGTGGCTTCAGAGTCAATCCACCACTCCTTCGGATTTCCAACTAGGTTGCATTCCGAAAGCATTGCACAGAGATCATCAATGTCATCATTCTTCTCCACTATGTTGGCTTGTCCCTTCTTATTATCCTTTTTCGGGAGACGACAATCAGGGCTTTTGTGACCAACTTTTCCACAATTATAGCAGCTGCCCTTGAATTTTTTTTTGTTCTGCTCCTTAGTTTGTCCAGAAGACCTCTTCCTCTTCTTACTTTTTGGAGCAGTCTCCTCAACGATATTAGCTCCCATGATCGTTGAATTTCCACGAGACTTCTTCTCAGTTGTTTTGATGTCTTCCTCGATCTTTAGACGTATCACAAGATCTTCCAACTTCATTTCTTTGCGCTTGTGCTTAAGATAGTTCTTGAAAT